TCTTCTTTTGCGGATGACACCCGAATTTGCATGACGGTGTTATCCATCGAAGACACTGCAAGACTCCAAGAGGACATCAACCAAATCTTTAAATGGGCCGCAGAAAACAATACGAAGTTCAATGAATTGAATGGCAGAGGATCTCACTTTCAAAAATCACAACAATGTATCTAACACATCTGCTAGGAAAATGATAGGACGGGTAATGAGAATCCTCAGAACTAGGGATGCCAAGCCCATGATGATTCTCTTTAAATCGCTTGTTCTCTCTAGGCTGGAATACTGCTGTACACTTACGGGCCTCTTAAGGCACTCGCGTAAATGCAACTCTACAGAATGTACAGAGAACTTCCGTGGCACGCATAAGTACGATGAAGCACCTAAATTACTGGGAACGGATGAAGTCCCTTGATCTGTATTCCATAGAAAGCAGGCAAGAAACATTATAATATACACTAGCCTCGGTAAGCTAGCCTCAGTAAGTTAGCCTCAGTAAGCTAGCCTCAGTAAGCTAGCCTCAGTAAGCTAGACTCAGTAAGCTAGCCTCAGTAAGTTAGCCTCAGTAAGCTAGCCTAAGTAAGCTAGCCCCAGTAAGCTAGCTTCAGTAAGCTAGTCTCAGTAAGGTAACTTCAGTAAGCTAGTCTTAGTAAGCCAGCTTCAGTAAGCCTGCCTCAATAAGCTAGCTTCAGGAAGCTAGCCTCAGTAAGCTAGCTTCAGTAAGCTAGCCTCAGTAAGCTAGCTACAGCAAGCTAGCTTCATTAAGCTAGCCTAAGTAAGACAGCCTCAGTAAGCTAGCTTCAATAAGCTAGCCTCAGTAAGCTAGCTTTAGTAAGCTAGTCTCAATAAGCTAGCTTCAGTAAGCTAGCCTCAGTAAGCTAGCCTCAGTAAGCTAGCTTCAGTAAGCTAGCCTCAGTAAGCTAGCTTCAATAAGCTAGCTTCACTAAGCTAGCCTCAGTAAGCTAGCCTCAGTAAGCTAGCTTCAGTAAGCTATCTTCAGTAAGCTAGCCTCAGAAAGCCAGCTTCAGTAAGCTAGCTTTAGTAAGCTAGCCTCAGTAAGCTAGCTTTAGTAATCTAGCCTCAGTACACTAGCCTCTGTAAGCTAGCTTCAGTAAGCTACTCTCAGTAAGCTAGCTTCAGTAAGCTAGCCTCAGTAAACTAGCCTCAGTAAGCTAGCTTCAGTAAGCTAGCTTCAGTAAGCTAGCTTCAGTAAGCTAGCCTCAGTAAGCTACCTTCAGCAAGCTAGCCTCAGTAAGCTAGCCTCAGTAAGCTAGCCTCAGTAAGCTACCTTCAGTAAGCTAGCCTCAGTAAGCTAGCTTCAGTAAGTTAGCCTCAGTAAGCTAACTTTAGTAAGCTAGCCTCAGTAAGCTAAGTTCAGTAAGCTAGCTTCAGTAAGCTAGCTTCAGTAAGCTAGCCTCAGTAAGCTTGCCTCAGTATGCTAGCTTTAGTAAGCTAGTCTCAGTAAGCCAGCTTCAGTAAGCTAGCTTCAGTAAGCTAGCATCAGGAAGCTAGCCTCAGTAACCTAACTTCAGTAAGCTAGCCTCAGTTAGCTTCAGCAAGCTAGCCTCAGTAAGCTAGCTTCAGTAAGCTAGCCTCAGTAAGCTAGCCTCAGTAAGCTAGCCTCAGTAAGTTAGCTTCAGTAAGCTAGCCTCAGTAAGCTAGCTTCAGTAAGCTAGCCTCAGTAAGCTAGCCTCAGTAAGCTAGCCTCAGTAAGCTAGCCTCAGTAAGTTAGCTTACCTGGAGTTTACCTGGAGAGAGTTCCGGGGGTCAACGCCCCCGCGGCCCGGTCTGTGACCAGGCCTCCTTAGGTCAGTGTCCCAGGATGCGACCCACACCAGTCGACTAACACCCAGGTACCCATTTTACTGATGGGGAACATAGACAACAGGTGGAAAGAAACACGTCCAATGTTTCTACTCTGGCTGGGAATCGAACCCAGGCCCTCGCCGTGTGAAGCGAGAGCGTTAACCACCAGGCCACCAGAGCTAGTCTCAGTAAGCCAGCTTCAGTAAGCTAGCCTCAGTAAGCTAGCCTCAGTAAGCTAGCATCATTAAGCTAGCTTCGGTAAGCTAGCCTCAGTAAGCTGGCTTCAGTAAGTTAGCTTCAGTAAGCTAGTTTCAGTAAGTTAGCTTCAGTAAGCTAGCCTCAGTATGTTTGTTTCAGTAAGCTAGCTTGAGTAAACTAGCCTCAGTAAGCTAGCTTCAGTAATCTAGCCTCAGTAAACTAGCCTCAGTAAACTAGTCTCAGTAGACAGCACCTGGTGGTCCTTCAAACAACAGTATCAGGCTGGTACTCCTCTCCATCTATTAAATTAATAATAATGTTTCTTCTTCTTGATTCGCCGGTATTCTCCCGGCCCTGGCCTTTTCCAAGTGGTGGCCCGGCCTTGGCTCCCTGTCTAGGGAGTGTCTGAGACCTAAGTCTTCCTTCCATGTGAGGAGGGACAAGTATTCCCTCATCTTTGGGACCAACTGTCCCCAGGCCTAGCCACATTCCCCGCCCTCACGGGGCTCGTAGGGAGAAGCTAGGCCTCTCTGGTCTGCCATCCCCGCTTCAATGGGGCTAATGGGAATGACATTCCTTCTATCTTGTACCAACTGAGCCCACGGAAGTCACCGCGATCATAAACTCACTTAAAAATAACTTGGGGAATCTGTCTCACGTCCCACCATTATTGTACAAGCGAGCGGCCCATGTCCTATCGCATGCTATTACATTACTTTTTAACGTCAGAAACTAGCACTTTCCCGACACTACGCAAGACAGCAAGGGTTACACTAATACATAAAGGTGGTGACCCTACAGATGTAAACAACTATAGGCCAATATCAAACTTACCATTGCTATCCAAAATCTTCGAGAAACTTGTGCACAGAAGACTATATTCATTTATAACGTCACAAAACATACTCAACCCCTGCCAATTTGGATTCAGGAAAAATAAAAGCACTAATGATGCAATTATGAAAATGCTAGACCTGCTTTACACAGCATTGGAAAATAAGGAATATCCGCTAGGATTTTTTATTGACCTAAGAAAAGCGTTTGACACAGTAGACCACGGCATCCTACTCCACAAACTTGACCACTATGGTATAAGAGGCCATGCGCTTGCATATTTTAAATCCTACCTTTCTAATAGGTATCAGTATGTCACCATTAAAGACACAGCCTCATCAATACGGCCACTTGATACTGGAGTTCAGCAGGGAAGTGTCCTTGGACCCCTGCTCTTCCTCATTTACATCAATGATCTTCCAAACATATCCCAACACCTGAAACCCATTCATTCTCTTTGCTGACGACACGACTTATGTCATCTCCCACCCTAATCTTGCCACCCTCAACACCATTGTTAACGAGGAGCTGCTCAAAATATCGACTTGGATGACAGCCAATAAACTTACACTTAACACTGGCAAAACCTACTATATATTATGTTTGGTAGCAGAGCAGGTGTTGCGCAACTTAACATTAAGATTGACAACACTCAAATTGCCAGACATAATGAGGGCAAATTCCTTGGCCTATACCTCGACAACAACCTAAATTTCAGCACCCATATCCAACACATAACAAAAAAAGTATCCAAAACAGTGGGGATCCTCTCCAAGATACGATACTACGTACCGCAAACTGCCCTTCTCACACTATACCATTCACTTATATATCCATACCTCACCTATGCTATCTGTGCTTGGGGTTCAACTGCAGCAACACACCTAAAGCCAATAATAACCCAACAAAAAGCCGCAGTAAGAATAATCACTAAATCTATCCCTGGCAACACAGCCCCCCACTCTTCATAGATCTAAACTTACTCCCTGTTCAGAACATCCACACTTACTACTGTGCAATCTATATCTACAGGACCTTAAATTCCAATATTAACCTTGACCTAAAACGCTTTCTTGATAGTTGTGATAGGATCCACAGGCATAACACCAGACACAAACATCTCTATGACATTCCCCGTATTCGACTAAACCTTTACAAAAATTCAATGTATTTCAAAGGACCTAAAATCTGGAACACCCTACCTGAAAACTCGAGAACTGCACACATTCATCACTTTCAAAACTACAGTTAGAAAACATCTTATCTCCCTGATCCACCCCGACAACTAACTACATGATAACCACCTGGTGGCTCAAAATTACACTCACTCACCCACTGACTATAAACCCAGAAATACTAATGTTAATCTTAAAATAATAAATCCTAACTAGTCATAAGTTTGCCTATGATACTCAAATATAGACACCTTGTATTGTGCCAAAACAAAAACATTCACATTGCTAAACTTACAAATTATGATGTAGTCACTTAGCCTTAATACCATAATCTGTAAGGATTTAATGTTAAGAATTAATCTAAGTCTGCTCGAAATGCCTAGCCATGCTAGGTGTCCTAGTGGCCCCCTCTGTAATTAGTATTTTATAACATGTAAACCACAAAATACCCAAAACCTGTAAACCCCACATTGTAACCATTATAGAGAATAAACTTGAATTGAATTGACAGTGTTGTGAGCTGCAAGCTCTGGCTCAGGCACGTATCCTACCCTAGAAGAGTTAGGCATGGTGTCGATGTGAATCATGTTTATATAAAGAAAAATGTATGTAAATGAAGTTTTTTAACATCTCCCATCAAGGATAAGTTATGATAATAAGAATTTTATTGATTAAAGTGCTACTGTTAATGTTAATAAATTTAGATTATTACACGAGTTTTATTTAATAAAACTAGCTAAACAACACTATAAAATGTACATAACTCATCCAACATGGAAAATGGTGCCCATATAAATTAATCTTTGGTTGTGCATTTTTTTACTCAGCCCAACAAAAAAAATATTTCTGTTCTTACAATATGAATAAATAAAGAATAATATACAAACTTAAAAGTACAGAAAATGTGAGGTACACCAAACTAAAGACCCGCAAAATTTAACACATTCTATAGAAACATTGAAAAAAGTGAGAAAAGTTTGATATACGGACCTTAGGTAACTGTCCTCTGCGGATGTCTGAGACCTGGGACAACTCTGCCACGTTCCCCTCCTGGAAAAAGAAATCACAAAAGAAAGTTACTCAGTAGCGAAATCCATACAAGAAAAGTGTATATGACCTAGAAGACGACCTCGTAGTGTATATTTACACAGGCGTTCACATTTTCATATGATAAGTGCACTGTACATCAACAGTTGTAGTTCACTAGAGTTTTCAATTCAGATATCTGAGGGAAGCCAGAAGTAACTAGGCCAACCTGGTGATTCATCCTCACAGGAGGATACAGTGTTACAACCACTGCAAACCTATATATATATATATATATATATATATATATATATATATATATATATATATATTATATATATACATATATATATATATATATATATATATATATATATATATATATATATATATATATATATATATATATATATTATATTTATATATATATATATATATATATATATAAAAGAAATCTTTATATAGATTAAAGAGAAGTAGGTCATTACAAGTATATCTCTAATGTTGTAGTTACAAATGTATAATTACCTTGGCCATGTTGTAACATAACACAACTCACACTGCCCTTGTAACATAACACTACTCACACTGCCCTTATTGTAACACAACACAACTCACACTGCCCTTGTTGTAACATAACACTTCTCACACTGCCCTTATTGTAACACAACACAACTCACACTGCCCTTGTTGTAACATAACACTTCTCACACTGCCCTTGTAACATAACACTTCTCACACTGCCCTTGTAACATAACACTTCTCACACTGCCCTTATTGTAACACAACACTACTCACACTGCCCTTGTTGTAACATAACACTTCTCACACTGCCCTTGGTGTAACATAACACTTCTCACACTGCCCTTGTTGTAACATAACACTTCTCACACTGCCCTTGTAACATAACACTTCTCACACTGCCCTTATTGTAACACAACACTACTCACACTGCCCTTGTTGTAACATAACACTTCTCACACTGCCCTTGTTGTAACATAACACTTCTCACACTGCCCTTGTTGTAACATAACACTTCTCACACTGCCCTTGTAACATAACACTTCTCACACTGCCCTTATTGTAACACAACACTACTCACACTGCCCTTGTTGTAACATAACACTTCTCACACTGCCCTTGTTGTAACATAACACTGCTCACACTGCCCTTGTTGTAACATAACACTACTCACACTGCCCTTGTTGTAACATAACACTACTCACACTGCCCTTGTTGTAACATAACACTACTCACACTGCCCTTGTTGTAACATAACACTACTCACACTGCCCTTGTTGTAACATAACACTTCTCACACTGCCCTTGTTGTAACATAACACTTCTCACACTGCCCTTGTAACATAACACTTCTCACACTGCCATTATTGTAAGACAACACTACTCACACTGCCCTTGTTGTAATGTAACATTACTCACATTGTAATTGTTGTAACATAACACTGCTCACACTGTCCTTGTTGTAACATAACACTGCTCACACTGTCCTTGTTGTAACATAACACTACTCACACTGTCCTTGTTGTAACATAACACTGCTCACACTGTCCTTGTTGTAACATAACACTGCTCACACTGTCCTTGTTGTAACATAACACTACTCACACTGCCCTTGTTGTAACATAACACTACTCACACTGCCCTTGTTGTAACATAACACTACTCACACTGTCCTTGTAACATAACACTACTCACACTGCCCTTGTTGTAACATAACACTATTCACACTGCCCTTGTTGTAACATAACACTACTCACACTGTCCTTGTAACATAACACTACTCACACTGCCCTTGTTGTAACATAACACTACTCACACTGCCCTTGTTGTAACATAACACTACTCACACTGTCCTTGTTGTAACATAACACTACTCACACTGTCCTTGTAACATAACACTACTCACACTGTCCTTGTTGCAACATAACACTTCTCACACTTCATTTCTTGTAACATAACGCTACTTACCCTGCCAGTGTTGTAACATAACACTACTCACCCTGCCAGTGTTGTAACACAACAGTACTCATCTGCCAGTGTTGTAATACAACAGTATTCACCCTGCCGGTGTTGTATCAGTACTCACCCTGCTTTTGCTGAAATCCAAGAGTAATCACCCTGCCAGTGTTTTAACAGTATTCACCATGCCAGTGTTGTAATAAACAGTACTCACTCTGCCAGTGTTGTAACAGTACTCACCCTGCCAGTGTTGCAACAGTACCCACCCTGCCAATGTTGCAATAGTACTCACCTTGCCAGTGTTGTAACAGTACTCACCCTGCCAGTGTTGCAACAGTACTCACCCTGCCAGTGTTGTAACAGTACTCACCTGCCAGTGTTGTAACTACTCGTCCTGTCAGTGTTGTAACAGTACTCACCCTGCCAGTGCTGTAACAGTACTCACCCTGCCAGTGTTGTAACAGTACTCACCCTCCCAGTGTTGTAACAGTACTCATCCTGCCAGTGTTGTAACAGTACTCACCCTGCCAGTGTTGTAACAGTACTCATCCTGCCAGTGTTGTAACAGTACTCACCCTGCCAGTGTTGTAACAGTACTCACCCTGCCAGTGCTGTAAGAGTACTCACCCTGCCAGTGTTGAAACAGTACTCACCCTGCCAGTGTTGTAACAGTACTTACCTTGCCAGTGTTGTAACAGTACTCACCCTGGCAGTGTTGTAACAGTACTCACCCTGCCAGTGTTGTAACTACTCGTCCTGTCAGTGTTGTAACAGTACTCACCCTGCCAGTGCTGTAACAGTACTCACCCTGCCAGTGTTGTAACAGTACTCACCCTCCCAGTGTTGTAACAGTACTCATCCTGCCAGTGTTGTAACAGTACTCACCCTGTCAGTGTTGTAACAGTACTCACCCTGCCAGTGTTGTAACTACTCACCCTGCCAGTGTTGTAACCGTACTCACCTGCCAGTGTTGTAACAGTACTCACCCTGCCAGTGTTGTAACAGTACTCACCCTGCCAATGTTGTAACAGTACTCACACTGCCAGTATTGTAACAGTACTCACCCTGCCAGTGTTGTAACGGTACTCACCCTGCCAGTGTTGTAACAGTACTCACCCTGCCAGTGTTGTAACAGTACTCACCCTGCCAGTGTTGAAACAGTGCTCACCCTGCCAGTGTTGTAACAGTACTCACCCTCCCAGTGTTGTAACAGTAGTCACCCTCCCAGTGTTGTAACAGTACTCACCCTGCCAGTGTTGTAACAGTACTCACCCTGCCAGTGTTGTAACAGTACTCATCCTGCCAGTGTTGTAACAGTACTCACCCTGCCAGTGTTGTAACAGTACTCACCCTGCCAGTGCTGTAAGAGTACTCACCCTGCCAGTGTTGAAACAGTACTCACCCTGCCAGTGTTGTAACAGTACTTACCTTGCCAGTGTTGTAACAGTACTCACCCTGCCAGTGTTGTAACAGTACTCACCCTGCCAGTGTTGTAACTACTCGTCCTGCCAGTGTTGTAACAGTACTCACCCTGCCAGTGTTGTAACAGTACTCACCCTGCCAGTGTTGTAACAGTACTCACCCTCCCAGTGTTGTAACAGTACTCATCCCGCCAGTGCTGTAACAGTACTCACCCTGTCAGTGTTGTAACAGTACTCACCCTGCCAGTGTTGTAACTACTCACCCTGCCAGTGTTGTAACCGTACTCACCTGCCAGTGTTGTAACAGTACTCACCCTGCCAGTGTTGTAACAGTACTCACCCTGCCAGTGTTGTAACAGTACTCACCCTGCCAGTGTTGTAACAGTACTCACCCTGCCAGTGTTGAAACAGTGCTCACCCTGCCAGTGTTGTAACAGTACTCATCCTGCCAGTGTTTTAACAGTACTCACCCTCCCAGTGTTGTAACAGTAGTCACCCTCCCAGTGTTGTAACAGTACTCACCCTGCCAGTGTTGTAACAGTACTCACCCTGCCAGTGTTGTAACAGTACTCACCCTGCCAGTGTTGTAACAGTACTCACCCTGCCAGTGTTGAAACAGTACTCACCCTGCCAGTGTTGTAACAGTACTCACCCTGCCAGTGTTGTAACAGTACTCACCCTGCCAGTGTTGTAACAGTACTCACCCTGCCAGTGTTGTAACAGTCCTCACCTGCCAGTGTTGTAACAGTACTCACCCTGTCAGTGTTGTAACAGTACTCACCCTGCCAGTGTTGTAACAGTACTCACCCTGCCAGTGTTGTAACAGTACTTACCCTGCCAGTGTTGTAACAGTACTCACCCTGCCAGTGTTGTAACAGTACTCACCCTGCCAGTGTTGTAACTACTCGCCCTGCCAGTGTTGTAACAGTACTCACCCTGCCAGTGTTGTAACAGTACTCACCTGCCAGTGTTGTAACAGTACTCATCCTGCCAGTGTTGTAACAGTACTCATCCTGCCAGTGTTGTAATAGTACTCACCTGCCAGTGTTGTAACATTACTCACCCTGCCAGTGTTGTAACAGTACTCACCCTGCCAGTGTTGAAAAAGTACTCACCCTGCCAGTGTTGTAACAGTACTCACCCTGTCAGTGTTGTAACAGTACTCACCCTGCCAGTGTTGTAACAGTACTCACCCTGCCAGTGTTGTAACAGTACTTACCCTGCCAGTGTTGTAACAGTACTCACCCTGCCAGTGTTGTAACAGTACTCACCCTGCCAGTGTTGTAACTACTCGCCCTGCCAGTGTTGTAACAGTACTCACCCTGCCAGTGTTGTAACAGCACTCACCCTGCCAGTGTTGTAACAGTACTCACCCTCCCAGTGTTGTAACAGTACTCATCCTGCCAGTGTTGTAACAGTACTCACCCTGTCAGTGTTGTAACAGTACTCACCCTGCCAGTCTTGTAACTACTCACCCTGCCAGTGTTGTAACCGTACTCACCTGGCAGTGTTGTAACAGTACTCACCCTGCCAGTGCTGTAACAGTACTCACCCTGCCAGTGTTGTAACAGTATTCACCCTGCCAGTGTTGTAACAGTACTCACCTGCCAGTGTTGTAACAGTACTCACCCTGCCAGTGTTGTAACAGTACTCACCCTGCCAGTGTTGTAACAGTACTCACCTGCCAGTGTTGTAACAGTACTCATCCTGCCAGTGTTGTAACAGTACTCACCCTGTCAGTGTTGTAACAGTACTCACCCTGCCAGTGTTGTAACAGTACTCACCCTGCCAGTGTTGTAACAGTACTCACCTGCCAGTGTTGTAACAGTACTCACCCTGCCAGTGTTGTAACAGTACTCACCCTGCCAGTGTTGTAACAGTAGTCACCCTGCCAGTGTTGCAACAGTACTCACCCTGCCAGTGTTGTAACATTACTCACCCTGCCAGTGTTGTAACAGTACTCACCTGCCAGTGTTGTAACAGTACTCACCTGCCAGTGTTGTAACAGTACTCACCCTGCCAGTGTTGTAACAGTACTCACCCTGCCAGTGTTGTAACAGTACTCACCCTGCCAGTGTTGTAACAGTACTCACCCTGCCAGTGTTGTAACAGTACTCACCCTGCCAGAGTTGTAACAGTTCTCACCCTGCCAGTGTTGTAACAGTACTCACCCTGCCAGTGTTGTAACAGTACTCACCCTGCCAGTGTTGTAACAGTACTCATCCTGCCAGTGTTGTAACAGTACTCACCCTGCCAGTGTTGTAACAGTACTCACCCTGCCAGAGTTGTAACAGTACTCACCCTGCCAGTGTTGTAACAGTACTCACCCTGCCAGTGTTGTAACAGTACTCATCCTGCCAGTGTTGTAACAGTACTCACCCTGCCAGTGTTGTAACAGTTCTCTCCCTGCCAGTGTTGTAACAGTACTCACCCTGCCAGTGTTGTAACAGTACTCACCCTGCCAGTGTTGTAACAGTACTCATCCTGCCAGTGTTGTAACAGTACTCACCCTGCTAGTGTTGTAACAGTACTCACCCTGCCAGAGTTGTAACAGTACTCACCCTGCCAGTGTTGTAACAGCACTCACCCTGCCAGTGTTGTAACAGTACTCATCCTGCCAGTGTTGTAACAGTACTCACCCTGCCAGTGTTGTAACAATACTCACCCTGCTAGAGTTGTAACAGTACTCACCCTGCCAGTGTTGTAACAGTACTCACCCTGCCAGTGTTGTAACAGTACTCACCCTGCCAGTGTTGTAACAGTACTCACCCTGCCAGTGTTGTAACAGTACTCACCCTGCCAGTGTTGTAACAGTACTCACCCTGCCAGTGTTGTAACAGTACTCACCCTGCCAGTGTTGTAACAGTACTCACCCTGCCAGTGTTGTAACTACTCACCCTGCCAGTGTTGTAACAGTACTCACCCTGCCAGTGTTGTAACAGTACTCACCCTGCCAGTGTTGTAACAGTACTCACCCTGCCAGTGTTGTAACAGTACTCACCCTGCCAGTGTTGTAACTACTCACCCTGCCAGTGTTGTAACAGTACTCACCCTGCCAGTGTTGTAACAGTACTCACCCTGCCAGTGTTGTAACAGTACTCACCCTGCCAGTGTTGTAACAGTACTCACCCTGCCAGTGTTTGTAACAGTACTCATCCTGCCAGTGTTGTAACAGTACTCACCCTGCCAGTGTTGTAACAGTACTCACCCTGCCATTGTTGTAACAGTACTCATCCTGCCAGTGTTTTAACAGTACTCACCCTGCCAGTGTTGTAACAGTACTCACCCTGCCAGTGTTGTAACAGTACTCACCCTGCCAGTGTTGTAACAGTACTCACCCTGCCAGTGTTGTAACAGTACTTACCCTGCCAGTGTTGTAACAGTACTCACCCTGCCAGTGTTGTAACAGTACTCATCCTGCCAGTGTTGTAACAGTACTCACCCTGCCAGTGTTGTAACAGTACTCACCCTGCCATTGTTGTAACAGTACTCACCCTGCCAGTGTTGTAACAGTACTCACCCTGCCAGTGTTGTAACAGTACTCACCCTGCCAGTGTTGTAACAGTACTCATCCTGCCAGTGTTGTAACAGTACTCACCCTGCCAGTGTTGTAACAGTACTCATCCTGCCAGTGTTGTAACAGTACTCACCCTGCCAGTGTTGTAACAGTACTCACCCTGCATTGTTGTAACAGTACTCACCCTGCCAGTGTTGTAACAGTACTCACCCTGCCAGTGTTGTAACAGTACTCACCCTGCCAGTGTTGTAACAGTACTCACCTGCCAGTGTTGTAACAGTACTCACCTGCCAGTGTTGTAACAGTACTCACCCTGCCAGTGTTGTTACAGTACTCACCCTGCCAGTGTTGTAACAGTACTCACCTGCCAGTGTTGTAACAGTACTCACCCTGCCAGTGTTGTAACAGTACTCACCCTGCCAGTGTTGTAACAGTACTCACCCTGCCAGTGTTGTAACAGTACTCACCTGCCAGTGTTGTAACAGTACTCACCTGCCAGTGTTGTAACAGTACTCACCCTGCCAGTGTTGTTACAGTACTCACCCTGCCAGTGTTGTAACAGTACTCACCTGCCAGTGTTGTAACAGTACTCACCCTGCCAGTGTTGTAACAGTACTCACCCTGCCAGTGTTGTAACAGTACTCACCCTGCCAGTGTTGTAACAGTACTCACCTGCCAGTGTTGTAACAGTACTCACCTGCCAGTGTTGTAACAGTACTCACCCTGCCAGTGTTGTAACAGTACTCACCCTGCCAGTGTTGTAACAGTACTCACCCTGCCAGTGTTGTAACAGTACTCACCTGCCAGTGTTGTAACAGTACTCACCCTGCCAGTGTTGTAACAGTACTCACCCTGCCAGTGTTGTTACAGTACTCACCCTGCCAGTGTTGTAACAGTACTCACCCTGCCAGTGTTGTAACAGTACTCACCTGCCAGTGTTGTAACAGTACTCACCCTGCCAGTGTTGTAACAGTACTCACCCTGCCAGTGTTGTAACAGTACTCACCCCGCCAGTGTTGTTACAGTACTCACCCTGCCAGTGTTGTAACAGTACTCACCCTGCCAGTGTTGTAACAGTACTCACCCTGCCAGTGTTGTAACAGTACTCACCCTGCCAGAGTTGTAACAGTACTCACCCTGCCAGTGTTGTAGCAGTACTCACCCTGCCAGTGTTGTTACAGTACTCACCCTGCCAGTGTTGTAACAATACTCACCCTGCCAGTGTTGTAACAGTACTCACCCTGCCAGTGTTGTAACAGTACTCACCCTGCCAGTGTTGTAACAGTACTCACCCTGCCAGTGTTGTTACAGTACTCACCCTGCCAGTGTTGTAACAGTACTCACCCTGCCAGTGTTGTAACAGTACTCACCCTGCCAGTGTTGTAACAGTACTCACCCTGCCAGTGTTGTTACAGTACTCACCCTGCCAGTGTTGTAACAGTACTCACCCTGCCAGTGTTGTAACAGTACTCACCCTGCCCTCGCTCTTCCAGTACACGAAGAAGCCATACTCGTCAACTTTGAAGGTACATTTAGGCTCGTAGTCGTAGCTCTCTTTATCCTGGGAAACAAACGACAAGAACAATTTGGTTAGCATAACAAACTATAAATTGTCATTATCTTACACACACACACACACACACACACACACACACACACACACACACACACACACACACACACACACACACACACACACGCACACACACACATACACACACACATGAGAATTGCGTTCCGATACCCTAATAAGGAATCGTTCAAGACACTGTACGGTGTGTGTTAGCCCCATACTGGAGTATGCAGCACCAGTCTGGAACCCACACCTGGTCAAACACGTCAATAAGTTAGAGAAAGTACAAAGGTTTGCAACAAGGCTAGTCCCAGAGCTCAAGGGAATGTCGTACGAGGAAAGGTTGAGGGAAATCGGACTGACGACACTGGAGGACAGAAGGGTCAGGGGAGACATGATAACGACATACAAGATACTGCGGGGAATAGACAAGGTGGACAGAGATAGGATGTTCCAGAAAGGGGACACAGAAACAAGGGGTCACAACTGGAAGCTGAAGACTCAGACGAGTCACAGGGACGTTAGGAAGTATTTCTTCAGTCACAGAGTCGTCAGGAAGTGAAATAGCCTAGCAAGTGAAGTAGTGGAGGCAGGAACCATACATAGTTTTAAGAAGAGGTATGACAAAGCTCAGGAAGCAGAGAGGGAGGGGACCCAGTAGCGATCAGTAAAGAGGCGGGGCCAGGAGCTGAGTCTCGACCCCTGCAACCACAATTAGGTGAGTACAATTAGGTGAGTACACACACACACACACACACACACACACACACACACACACACAGGAGCTGAGTCTCGACCCCTGCAACCACAATTAGGTGAGTACACACACACACACTCAGGAATAGGCTCAGAAGTGTCCCTGTTCGCAGATGATGTGAAGTTAATGAGGAGAAATAAATCAGATGAGGATCAGGCAGGACTGCAAAGAGACCTGGACAGGCTGGACACCTGGTCCAGCAACTGGCACTCGAATTCAACCTCGCCAAATGCAAAGTTATGAAGATTGGGGAAGGGCAAGGAAGATCGCAGACGGAGTATAGGCTACGTGGTGAAAGACTGGAAACCTCACTCGAGGAGAAAGATCTTGGAGTGATCATAACACCGAGCATGTCTCCGGAAGCAAACATCAGCCAGATAACTGCTGCAGCATATGGGCGCCTGGCAAACCTGAGAATAGCGTTCCGATACCTTAGTAAGGAATCGTCCAAGACACTGTACACCGTGTACGTCAGACCCATACTGGAGTATGCAGCACCAGTTTGGAACCCACACCTGGTCAAGCACGTCAAGAAATTAGAGAAAGTGCAAAAGTTTGCAATAAGGTTAGTTCCGGAGCTAAGGGGAATGTCCTACGAAGAACGGTTCAGGGAAATCGGCCTGACGACACTGGAAGACAGGAGGGTCAGGGGAGACATGATAACGACATACAAAATACTGCGTGGAATAGATAAGGTGGACAGAGACAGGATGTTCCAGAGAGGGGACACAGAAACATAAGGTCACAATTAGAAGCTGAAGATTCAGACGAATCAAAGGGATGTCAGGAAGTATTTCTTCGGTCATAGAGTTGTCAGGAAGTGGAATAGTTTAGCAAGTGATGTAGTCTAGGCAGGAACCATACATAGTTTTAAGACGAGGTATGACAATGCTCGGGGAGCAGAGAAAGAGAGGACCTAGTAGCGATCAGTGAAGAGAATGGTCCAGGAGTTGAGTATCGACCCCTGCAACCACAATTAGGTGAGTACTGAGGCTGGAGTCCCTCTTGTACTCTATATTTGCTCCCGCCAACTTGAGGTAAATTTGGTTTCTCTTTTTACACCCGTCTGGTTTTAATATATATATATATATATATATATATATATATATATATATATATATATATATATATATATATATATATATATATATATATATATATATATATTTATATATATATATATATATATATATATATATATGTATATATATATATATACATATATATATATATATTCTCCATGGGGAAGTGGAACAGAATTCTTCCTCCGTAAGCCATGCGTGTTGTAAGAGGCGACTAAAATGCCGGGAGCAAGGGGCTAGTAACCCCTTCTCCCGTATAAATTACTAAATTTAAGAGAAACTTTCGTTTTTCTTTTTGGGCCACCCTGCCTTGGTGGGATACAGCCGGTGTGTTGAAAGAAAGTATATATATATATATATATATATATATATATATATATATATATATATATATATATATATATATATATATATATATATATATAGGGAAGTACCACCTCTATAGCTGGAATGGGGACCCTCATCCTCAGAGAAGACAATAAACGTACCTCAGAGAAAACTCAAGGTTCTCCCCGGAGCTGTTTGAATATTTTCTTCTCCTACCACCCCCTATATATGTTTTATTCTATGTGAACATTTATTAATAAACAAAATACATTTACAGAAAAAAACATAAACATGAATACAATGGCACAATGTATCAAAGATGATGAATTTCCTCCAGCTCCTCCGAGGCTGGACGTGAGCCAAGTATGCAGCAAGCATTTCCCCTCTGGATGGCGACGCTGAGGCGCTGGAACATGAAAGTGGCTGCCCTTGGGTCCCCGGTGGTGTCGATGAGTCTGGAACCCAATTCTTTAAGGAAACGTGTGGCATTTTTTCCCCATGATCCCAAGGTCTCTGATCCCACTGGGACAAATTGATACTGTTGGCTAATGTCCCTGTACTTGCTGATCTTGTACTCCTCCCTGTGGTCAGCAGCTCCTCCCTGTCGCCCCACACTGTGATGGATATAGGTGTCAGCCAGTGTGGACACACAGGTATAGTCCCATGCTAAGAGCTTGCCATTCTTCCAAGGATAGATGGTGATCCCGTCGGGGCGGTTTGCTGGGTTGTGGGTATTGTTTGCTGCAAGTGATCGTGGCTCCCTCTCGGCAGGGCATCCAGCTGTAGCAAGGGTTCTCTTAATGATGTTGACCTCATTGTGTCTTGCATGCCAGCCCTTGGTTTTGGAACAGTTAAGACCATGTAGACCGTATTGGTCTGCTTGCACTTCGCCGCAAATACACATATATTCTGTGTGAATTGGGGCAGCAAGGCGCAGAGCCACTGCAATACGGAGGGTCTTAGGGTCGAGTCGCGTTCCCATTGCCGATATGGGAACTGTTTGGAGGAAGTCCCCGGAGTGAGGTGCACTCACAGCCTGGAGACGGGCAATCTCCCTATCTGATGTTGCAGCCCTGAGCATGTTGGCAAGCACCTTTTCAGCAATTGGGCTATCCCAGCTTGACTGTTTGTGAGCCAGTGCTGCACTAGGGTTTGGTGCTGGAGCAGCAAGAGTCTCCCATTCGGTGATGGCACTGACATAGCTAGGATCTTCTATTCCTGCTGAGTCACTGAGGGTGTCAGGAAGAATTTGTCTTATCAACTCGCTTGATGCAATGGAAGAGGATAGGAAAGCTGGTAGAGCAATCTGGGAGGATCTGCGTACTCCTAGCCCTCCAAGCCTGACCGGAAGTGAGGCTTGCAACCACTGTCCGTCGTCAAGGGAAAGATTCAATACACCTTCTAGCATGGCCTTCAGGAGAGAGTCATATTCCTTGAGTTTTGGACTGCTGAAGGCTGGGGAGCATCTCAGAAAATATAAGTAGTAGGTTGGTAGACAGCAACCACCCAGGGAGGTACTACCGTCCTGCCAAGCGAATGTAAAACGAAAGCCTATAATTGTTTTACATGATGGTAGGATTGCTGGTGTCTTTTGTCTGTCTCATAAATATGCAAGATTACAGGCATGTCTTGCTACTTCTACTTACACTTAGGTCACACTACACATACATGTACACATTTATTTATAGTACACACTTATCTGAGTTTTCTTTGATTTTATCTTAATAGTTCTTGGTCTTATTACTTTTCCTTTTATATCCATGGGGAAGTGGAATAAGAATCTTTCCTCCGTAAGCCATGCGTGTTGTAAAAGTCAACTAAAATGCCGGGAACAATGGGCTAGTAACCCCTTTTCCTGTAAAGATTGCTAAAAAGAATAAGAAGAAGAAAATTGTCAAAGTGGGAAGTCTGAATGTGTGTCGATGTTGTGCAAATGATAAGAAAGAGATGATTGTGGATGTTATGAATGAGAAGAAGCTGGATGTCCTGGCTTTAAGTGAAACAAAGCTGAAGGAGGTGGGAGAGTTTCAGTGGAGAGGAATAAATGGGATTAGGTCAGGGGTTTCAAACAGAGTTAGAGCTAAAGAAGGAGCAGCAATAATGTTGAAGGATAAGATATGGCAGGGAAAGAGGGACTATAAATGTATTAATTCAAGGATTATGTGGAGTAAGATAAAGGTTGGATGTGAAAAGTGGGTTATCGTAATTGTATATGCACCTGGAGAAGAGAGAAGTGTAGAGGAGAGAGAGAGATTTTGGGAAATGTTGAGTGAATGCGTGGGGAGTTTTGAACCAAGTGTGAGAGTACTTGTGGTTGGGGATTTCAATGTTAAGGTTGGTAAAAATGTTGTGGAGGGAGTAGTAGGTAAATTTGGGGTGCCAGGGGTAAATGTAAATGAGAAGCCATTAATTGAGCTATGCGTAGAAAGAGATTTGGTAATAAGTAATACATATTTTATGAAAAATAGGATAAATAAATATACAAGGTATGATGTAGCACGTAATGAAAGTAGTTTGTTAGATTATGTATTGGTGGATAAAAGGTTGATGGGTAGGCTCCAGGATGTACATGTTTATAGAGGGGCAACTGATATATCGGATCATTATTTAGTTGTAGCTACAGTTAGAGTAAGAGGTGGATGGGACAAGACGAAGGTGGCAACAACAAGTAGGAGGGAAGTGAAAGTGTATAAACTAAGGGAGGAGGAAGTTCGGGTGAGATATAAACGACTATTGGCAGAAAGGTGGGATAATGCAAAGATGAGTAGTGGGGGGGTTGAAGAGGGTTGGATGAGTTTTAAAAATGCAGTATTAGAATGTGG